TGCTTAGGATTTATAGAATGTAAATAAATTCAATTCAATTCACTAATCTGAACTGATTCTAGACAGACCATTTTATATAGCCTGGTCTGTGAAAATATGTTCACATGTTGGTTGCACTAACTCACTAATCTCAACTGATTCTAGACAGACCATTTTATATAGCCTGGTCTGTGAAAATAGTTCACATGTTGGTTGCACTAACTCACTAATCTCAACTGATTCTACACAGACCATTTTATATAGCCCGGTCTATGAAAATATGTTCACATGTTGGTTGCACTAACTCACTAATCTCAACTGATTCTAGACAGACCATTTTATATAGCCTGGTGTGTGAAAATATGATCACATGTTGGTTGCATTAACTCACTAATCTCAACTGATTCTAGACAGACCATTTTATATAGCCTGGTCTGTGAAAATATGTTCACATGTTGGTTGCACTAACTCACTAATCTCAACTGATTCTAGACAGACCATTTTATATAGCCTGGTCTGTGAAAATATGTTCACATGTTGGTTGCACTAACTCACTAATCTCAACTGATTCTAGACAGACCATTTTATATAGCCTGGTCTGTGAAACTATGTTCACATGTTGGTTGCACTAACTCGCTGATATCAACTAGTTTCTGACCACCACGTTACAGGGTCTGATTAATATAGCGGAGCAATATCATCAGCCACAACTTGGAAAGGATTTTTCAGCCATGTTCAGGGCTTAGAGAATAGAAATAAACATTTTGTAAAGTTTTTATTCATATTTGCATCTCTAATTTTACTGTGCATTGCTACTCTATTCTGCTACTGCTAATCTCTATTAAACTACTGAAAGAAAACGTACATAGTAGCTACTGTAATAAAACTTTTATCTTATGTCTGTGGTTTCCACTTGTCATTTCAACCATCAACAGAAGACCTCTTGTGTTTCACACTAAAACTTTCCTGATTACCACTAAATAAATACTGTACATTTCATAAGTTTCAGTGACATAACTTATGACTGCACCCAGAATTCTATATATTCCATTATTATGCCACAGCCCCCCGCCCCCATAATGAAAGTGGGAAATCTGCATTCACAGCCACACAATAAGGAAGTTACATAGTATGCAGATGGGACTACAGACTACAGACTTCAGCAGCTGAAGAAAGGGGCAGGCAAAGTCCCTCTGTATGGTGGGGTAATGGGTATGAGTGCTGGTCACTACAGTGCTTATTGCATGAAAACGTCAGTTTCCAAAGCAGCCAGGAGCAAACCAGGTCCAGTAGAGTGCTGAAGGCTCCCGGAGCCAATAGGCAGTAGAATATGGTCCTGTGGGACTCAGTACCAAGAATTACTGTGCTGGTGATGACCAGCAGCATTTCCAGAGTCAGTGAACTGCAAAGAGGCACAACAAAAGTTGCATCTACATAAAAAGACTTTCCCCCCGCCCCTCTCAATGAACACAAGGCCTCCCTTCTAAACACGTACATGTCTAGGAGAGAACAAAAATCTTGGTCACAGAACTCAACAAGACCTGAAACCAAGAATGACGATGCTGGTGCAGGCCAGCAGCAATTTAACCGACCAATCAACTGACATTTTTCATAGGAAGCTGTGTCCAACCCAAAGTGACATGATGTATGTCTGACTGGCACCAGCAAGCTTAATGATGACCCCTGAGAAACCATTTGGTAAACCATATCAAACAGCTTTGCACTCTATGGCTGAGGTACTGGTATGTTCAAAGCAAGTGAGGCATAATGGAGGCATCAAGACAACTAAGGTTACGCAGGAAAATACTAAAGAGAGAGTCAAATTCACAACTGGTGAGGCACAAGAGGTCTGAGCCACAAGACGGGCATGAAGAACATTCAGTTATCTTATGTAGGATTTATTATGGCTCTGTCTGCCACCAGTTTTCACATTGATTTCTTACTCAGCTTATTCTTTGAAAAAGAGGGGATATATTCCTCTGAAACATCAGTTGACTTTCAACGGACTACATAGCATTATATCCCGGAACACAGTACTGTTATCTTGTACATATGTGTAGTTTTGTACACAAGTGTCTGTGTGACTTATGCCATGATTCCTATGCTATATTACTGAGATCCTCTCAGAACTGTGACCTTATTCCAGAACCACATGGACTACTACTGCTCACAAGTATGATTCTAACTACAAGCATGACCATGTTGTCATTGGTGGGAAGAGTCACTAGGGAAAGGTCTGGGAGATTAGGGGAAGACATGCCTTGTTTTATGGCTTCCATCCACTTCCTAATCTGTAGGCTTCACTGTAGGTAAAGCTTTTACAGTTCTGCACAATCCCCTGGCCAGCCATACCATAACATACTGTGGGATCCCACATTAAAGTCACCCACTTTAAGACTTTCATTATTTAATATTCAATAGGCTGTGCCATAGCTCAGGTGGTTAGTTGCTGGCTTCCCACCGTGGTGACCTGAGTTCAAGCCCACGTCAGGTCATGTGGGATTTGTGGTCAAAAAAGTGCCACTGGGGCAGGTTTTCTCCAAGTACTTCAGTTTCTACTGTAAATTCACATTCCACCGAATGCTCCACACTCATCATCTATCATCCGGGATTGGTACAAAAGTACCAAATGGACTCAGGCTCACCCCACTAATAATAACAATAATAATAATATTCAGTAATGATATTCCAAGCATAAATGTCTTATTATTTTGTTTATCACAAGCAGCAAACACAAAAAACCTGTACATAAAGTCACCTGATTAAGATGTTCGTAGCATATACGTGCTGCCAGAAGACAAGGTACCACTCTGGTTGGCAGAAGCCTGGTAACCTCCTTCAAGACTGAGAGAGCATGGGCATATTGTCCCATAGTGACCAAACATAAGGCATGCTGCATCCATATGTGAGGCTCTTCAAATGAGAACTTCATGGCCCGCTCAAATGACTATAACATACGATCCTCTCAAAATTAATGAAATAATATTCTCATAACATAAACAAAGCAATTGTGCAAATCATACTCCAACCTTCTTCTATAGTGTCAAACCAAATTCAAATATGAATTAAGTCATACTGCAAGTCCTTCCATTTAAATATTCAACAACTTGAGAATTAAGTAGTGTACTGTGAGAGAACTTCAACATATTAAAAAGTACAAAGAGTGAAGCACACTGCAGTCTTCTGGATTATGACACAACACAGTCAGGTAGATGGAAGCCTTGGAGGAACCTACTTCTTTCATCTTCAGGGTAAAAGGGTAGGGTATTTCCTAACCTGAAGATAGAGGCAGTAGGTTCTTCTACCAGACTACATGATATCATAACGAAGAGGAATTAATGAAGTCTCCAGTTACTGAAACACATACCTCATGTAAGAGGTCTGCATGACCCCATCGAACTAAAGCAATTGTTAGGAGATCATAGATGGCAGTGGCATTATCATAAGCATGAATTCTTGCTTCCTTAAACTCTGGAGACTGGCTGAGTACAGCATTGCGGACAGCCATGGCTTCACTGCAACAGTTAACAGTGTCAGCATATTGTTAACGTCTCACGCTGGTTTCCGTCATCAGTTGTAGCTGACCATTCTCATTGCAGTTAGCTTTATCCTGACAGAATTTACATTTACAGGACATACAATGCATTAATGTACTGCAGCATGTGTATGGACCACACCTGCTGGCCTCCACAGTACTGGGGAATTTGAAATTTCCCGATTCCTGGACAATCACTCCTGAATTAAAATCTCACCACCAACTCATGATACTAAGAGACCTGAAATCCACTATTCCCAGATAATAAAGGTTAATATGGTGATTATGAGTCACTGGGAATACAGACTGTGTTTTCACTCACTGTGATTACAAATTAACTGTTTGAAAATCTTTCTAGTTTCTGAGAATTCTAGCCCCTGACTACATACAGCTCGTATTACAAATCTGTTTTGTACTGGAGGCATGGTCAATCCTATGGCCTGTGCAATACATTCATCACTGAAACTGAACAGCTGTTAATTTATCAAAGGAGTCACAAAGACGTACTTCCTTCAAGCCTCAAAATGATGTTACTTTACCCAAGCAAGAATACTACCACAAAGTCACATTTACACAGACATACCACGAAAGGGAACAGCAAAACATTCCAGAGTCCCTAAACAATTGGTCTCTCTGTACCAAAGATCAGCATATACATCGTGGATCACACCAAAAAATGAGAGAATAATTAAAGAAGAGAATATTTATAAACATTCTTAAACTGCCCTCTTCAGTCAGTGTGCCCTAGGAAACCACCGTGGGACATGATTGTCACTGCGATCAATATCCCTCACATGTGAATATTATCAACATCTGGAACATGACAACGTGATTCAGTCTGATTGATGTTTTACTCATATTTCAGAGGAATGTGGCACCTCCAACTTCAGGCAGAAGAATAACACTACTCAATAAGGATACATTTCTATCTTGAAGATATAGGCAGTATGTTCCTCCAAAATATCTGTAAATATCTACCACACTATATGACATCTCATTTCAGAAGATGATAATCTTCATAATCACTGCTTTGAGAACTTAAAATCTCCTGCTTCACGATCTGTGAGCTACTGTGTCCCTAATGTCACCTGCTGCCCACATAATTTACTGACCATACAGTAAGAAAATGTTACTCTAATATGGCTGAAGAACCGCACGAAGGTTCACATTTTTTGTACAAGTACACTTGTGGCAAACATGGTTTGCAATATGAGAGTGCACAGGCATTCTTACCACTCCAAGTGGTTTAAAAAAAGACCAATCACAGAGTATACAGATCTCGCTCTCCTATGCTGTACTATGTTAAGGGTCCATTGTACTTTAATCTAACAGTTAGCTCTGTCAGTGGGAGAGACCATGATCAGGGGGGGGCTGTTAGTAAAATTTCAAGCTTTACCTTATGAGTAACAATAAGATGATTTCTTCATTTTCATTCCGAGGAATGAAGAGGTTGATGCCGGTGTATTTACGAGGCTTCCATGGGCTGTCAGCTGTCTGAGTCGTCTGTGTTAATTTTTTGTTTGAAGCTGAAAGAATTTCAAAAATTAAATATGATAAAACTGTTCACCAGCATTAAATATGGACACACAAAAAACTCTTTAGGATATGATCTGAGATCCCAGAGATGGTCCGGAGGCTACAAAGAACAAAAACATCTCTTGCTCCTGTTGGGCATCAAACTCTGGCCAAACAGCCTGTAGCCAGTCACTATAATGATTGAGCTGTCCCAGCTTCCAGGAAAATGGGTACATTAATTAAACGATTATGAGTTAAAAAAAGGAGTAATATCAAAACTGCCCAACCTGGGAAGTTAAAAGAATCATGGGTTTTAAAGTAAGATGATAACATAGAAGTAATGAAGCTCTGGTAATTAAAATTTTACTAATCTGCTCCTCTGCTTGCTACTTACTTCATGCTGGTNCTTTCCAACAGACTGCACAGCACTATACCCATGAAGACAGAACTCTTGAAAATAAGAATAATTTAATGATGAAGCATGCTGGAAAGACTGTTCAAAGTGTCAACATGCATCTTTAACATTTGAACATAATCATGGCAACATTGTGCTTAGGAAACTCAAAATGTATTAAAACGTATGATTTGGAGAACTGAGCCAAGTTTAAATTCCTCCAGGTAGCTGTACACTCTTTATACCCCAAGACCACCTTGCAAAGGCATAGAATCATCTTTAAGAGGGAATTCCATTCCCTTCTATTAACGGGGTAAGGATGAAGATGGAAAGAGAGCAGGGGGTCTAGCATTCCCCATGCTCACAGTCTCAGACTGGTTTGAGGTAAGAAACAGGAAATACATGCAGAAGAGTCCACAAAGGATCCAACTGGTCTCGGATCTGAAATTCAGTCCCTTCCCTTAAAGCAATAACTCAGCCAACACAGAATATTCAAACTGACCTGTTGTGTCACCTGCTTTCTCAGGACACGAATATACTGTTCCACTGACGCCCCTCAATAACACTTCAGCTAGTTGTCTTGTAAGTGTCAGACGTAAACTTTGCGTTGCACTGGACTCAACCGCACTTAACATAGTCCTACAGGAGACACAAAGTATCATATAATGAGCAACTTTATAAAGACTTGTTTTCTGGGAAATTACAAGATATAGGTTAGCAGATATTTACCAATGTTTCAGGGGAACCTGGTGCCTCCACTTCATGGTAGAAGTCTCTCCTACCTTGAAGATTGATGCAACAGATTGCTCTGAAACACCAGTAATACCCACCAGACCATATGGCATTATGGTAAGAAAACCAGTAATCTTCAAACACCGCTCTGAGAACCTTAAACCTGACGATTTGTACAGGTCACTTTGTAGTGTTAGGTAGTGAATGAAATGGAGGTTATGAAGGGCTGGATATGCAGATCAAATGGAGACAAGAAAGGTATATAAAGTTTTGATGAGGAAAGCTCTTGGAAAGCAGCTACTTCAGAGAAAAAGAAGATAATGAGAAGGTACCAATTAGATGGAGGTCAGGGATACAGGTTGTGAAAACAGGATGTGTATGGAAATAGCCTCCAATCATATATAATGGCTAGCTCTGGTATTAGTCATCATCATCAGTAATCTGTCAAGACGACAGGTGCAGTCTCTTCCAAAACAACTCCTCCACTTAATGCGATCTAGAGCTTTCTACTTCAAATGACAGTATCCTCTTCTGTCCCCAAGGTAATCCAGCATCTTCTTACATCTTCTTGTCACTTCTATCCGCCCCTCTATCTTTCCTTCAATAACTTCTTTTAGAAGGCAGTTTCTGCGTAAAACATGACCAATCCAATTAGCCTTCCATTTTCTTATTTTGTGTAGGATATTCCTCT